TGATTTTTTTATTTAATATTAAGATAAAATACAAAGTTAAAAAAATTCCAAAAATATATGACTCATACTGTATATAACTTATATATTTTTAATTTTTTTATTTCAATTGATACTTTGAATTAATTATTTTTAAGTGAAGAATTAATAGAATATTTATTTTCTCATCAAATTTATAAATACGATTATTTGATATTTTATATTTCTTAGTTAAAATCAATAATACTTTTTTCTCCTTATATTTATTGAAGCCATTACTTGATATACTTTATTAATGATTTTTATTTATATAATTACAAATATATATATATATTATAATTATAACTTTATATTGTATATCTAATTACAGTATATTGTGATTTTTTCAAATACTGGCTTTAAGTTATTAATTTATTCTATAATCTGAATTATAGCAAAGGAACCAAAACTAGTATACCAAAATTTCATTAATATATTAATATCACTTTTAGGTTTTATTTAAGAAATATATTAAAGGAAAAATATTTATTTTGATAAATAAATCCTATTCAAGATTGATTTTATCACTTTATACTACCTGTAATAGACTTTTAATCATTTGATTTCTACCTTTCTGTTATAACTCAGAGATATTTAAGATACTTATAATTATAGATTTATAATTTATAATAGTCTTGTGACTACCTGGAAATACTAAATATCTTCTTAGGATAAGTAGTATAGGAATAAACTTCTTACTGAATTGGAATATGATTTTCATATAATCTTTTTTTGCAAAAAAAATATTGGATATTATAGAAAGTGATTATTAAATTATTTTGTATTAAATTAGATACTTTTAATATTTTACAACTTCTGGTAATTATTGTGATCCCAACTGGAAATTATTATGTTACAACACTTTTTTCCTGAAAAATTACAATTTCAATACCTACTGGATCTGCATGTAAAATAGCTTCTTATAAGAAATAGTACTTGAACAGATTATGGCATCAGATATCATATTAATTCTATTCAACTGCTTTTATCTATAGTTGGACTGATATCTTGAGATTTAACCTGTAGAGCACTAACCACCTACAGATCTTAAAATTAATAATGTATTCTTTGTTTTTCTAATATATATAATAATTCAAATTGCTTTAAAAGAGAGAGAGGTTATATCAGATCTTAAATATCAATGATTTTTTTTTTTTATAATATTTATAGTGAAGTACATTTTTTTGAAACATATTTAATTTTATTTTTGCTATATATTGTTGAGTCAAAAAATATTACTAATGTGTGTATATTACAAGATATTAGCTTAAAAGTATATATAAGAAATATATTTTGTTATTCGCAATGCCTATAAAGATAGCAGAATCTTATGGTGGAAAATGCCTTTCCAAAGAATATATCAATTGTGTCGAGAGATTATGTCAAAATATCTTGGACCGCCATCTAAAATACGTCGACCTGATTTTCTTAAAACTTTAGATCACCCAACTGGATTAGAACTTGACATTTATTACATGCAATATGGATTTGCAACCGAAGTACAAGGAGAACACGAAAGATATATAGAATTCTTTCATAATGGTGATCCAATAATTTCACTAAACAACAAGAGCGGGACCAACTCAAGAAAGAATTGTGCGAAGAAAACTGGATCACTTTAAGATATGTCTGGTATTACGAAGACCCATATATAGTTATTCCAGAGCACCTTCGTGAATTGGGTCTCATTGAATGAACTCAGAACTTTAAATGCCATATGTGCATTATTTTTTTTGTAAGTACAACTATTAATTTTTTACATCCCGCAGTACAAAATAACTAGATTACATATACGCAAGATATACGTAGCAATCTTACTCCGCCGTCTTTGCTTTCTTTACGGGGGTTCTGAATTTATTTAGTCCTACAGTTGGTTTGGAAGACTCACTGGTTTTTTTGCCTTTAAAGGTTTTAGACCTTTTAGCAAGAATGTTTGACATACGTCCCACACGTTCTACAAGATTCTATTAAACTTTATTAGTAAAAGCTTGATAACTCAAAGCAAAACTGATCAAAAAATCAAAGTACCCCGTAAACAAAAATCTTTTACATAGTAGAGCAACTTCTCCCACATCTGTATCTTTCGTTGGTGAGTACTCCGAGGTCCAATCCCAAACTCCGTACAGATCTCCGCTGATTTGGAAAAGAAGATAGAACCAAATTCTCATTCCGACTATATGAAAAAATGGTATCAATATTGACGTCATTGCTTTTTGTAGACTCTCCGGCAGAGGATTTTTCCCGCTCTGTTCGATAATTTGAAGCTCAAGTTTGATATGCTGTGCTCTGGAAACTTTGATCGTATCAACGAAGTTTGTCTTCGCCTTGTCATGGTTATCCTTGTAGGTTGGCCCGCTATTCTCACCATTGCCAGCTTCTCGAGACGAGCTCTACATATAAAGCCCTACGTTAGGATTAGCTTGTTAACTTTTCATAACCGAATAAGACATACCCAATATAAAAAATCGCATGATTTGCCAACACGACTAGTCCCGGAGCGACCCGCTTTATCCTCGCGGTCAGCGTCTGAGTGGTTTTCGCCACTATAAAGGAGGAGAAAAATAATGCTTAATATTAAAAATACAGATAAATGATCAAGAATAAGCCATATATATTTCTTACTATGTGAATATAGTTTGCGGGGTTTTTGCACAAGGCCCAACAAGGAACATGTCGACGGTTCGTTCAGATTGACATTGTCCATGAAAACGACTGACCATTCGTAACTATGATAATTATTAGAGTTTACGAATCTATTGTAATACCATGTCTAAATCCATGACCAAATTATCGTGTGTAAGAAAACTTACGTGTCCTCAATGCATCTCCCGACATATATTGTAGTGTCATCATCAGCATCTACATTTGCGAGATGATCTTGAATTATTTTTTTATCATCAACATCCTATTGCAAATTGATTTGTTATAGAATTTATAGATTTGTGGGTGATAGTACGCATGTAATTTTAATCACCTGCATTTTATCAGCAGATCTTTGTAGAAGATCAAGTACACCGACTACTCCACGTGCACCACATTCCTTTGCGAGAAGTTGGAGGCTAACGATTTCCGATAATAGCAATGCTTCTAAAAGTGATTTAGCTGATTTACTTATCTTTTCATTCTCTTCTTGAATAGCATTTTGTGTAATATTCATCAAATGATCAATTTCATTAGCTGAGAGAAAATTCTTTGCACGGGGAAGGCTTGGACTCGGAGACACGTCCTCCTCACGAAAGTCTAGAACACCCCACCAGAGTGGGCTACAACAAGGAAAATGAGCGCACAAGAATGAATAGATAGATTAATATGCGGAACATATCTTACTTTGTGTGGGCAGATTCTTTATCGTTTTGAATAGAATTGACGGCGTTAACGGCAGTAGTGTATTCGTCGAATGATACGTTAAACGTAGAATCTGTTTTGGCCTGCATATTAAAAAATGATTTAACAAAGGCATAATATCAGGTAAAATAATGAGAAATGAAAATAAATGACCAAACCTTCTTGGGATCCGGTGTGTGAAAACCAGGATTTGATTCATAAGACTCTTTACAACCTTGAGAATCTTCCATGTGATCCTGGATGTTGAGAAGAAAAGTAAATTTTATTACATATAAAAACATTAATATAAAACTAACTTTTTAATACTTACATGATTTCGCTTCCCAGCATGTTCCTTTACAAATGACTTCAATTTATCGGATAAAAACTTTCGAATCTTCGATGGATTTATATATTACGTCATTGATAAACCCTAGCTATATTACATAACAAGTAAGTTTTCTATGTATATAAACAACAGCAAAACGCAACCTACAAACCGATTCTTTTTCAATATTGTCTTCATATTGCTTTTTTTCGATCTCTGTCCAGAAATCAAGGACACTCCCCGAAGACTTCTCGTTCTTTTTGTTAAAAAGAAAACAGACATTGTAAAATCAGGTAACATTTTTTGAGACTACCATATAACCCATATAACCAACAAATCAAAGGTTAAGATGAGTGAACCATAGCTTGGTGTAACAACCAGTTGGTACGTAAGCATCCGGTTGCGTTATGGCAGTAACATATGTCTATTCAAGAACACCCGAGGGGAAACAACCTCCACTCTCACCAGCCAGTGCGTAGTAGCTAGCTACTCGGGGTTTGTCAATACGTCACGTAAAATGTCTCGGGACCGAAACGTATTCTAGCCCTTGAACTCAATCATCTCACTCAGTGGCAACAAACATATACTTAACTTCAAAACCGGAAAGATATTCTCGAGCTTGAGCGTTATTCACCGCCAATACTTTCAAAGCTTTTTTGTACAAATCATGCTCCCTTCTCTTATCACGCGTAAACAACGACCAGAATGTATTTTTTTTGAAGAAATTTTCCACTATTTCCTGAGCCTGTAATAGAAATAATTCGTCTGACGATGGTTAGCATAGTTATAGGCAAAAACACGAATGCACGATACACGACTCAAGGTCACATGATCCTGGTCGTTACTTTTTTAGATATCCCCGATACATCCTTCTAAATTTACGACCGGACATCAAGTAATAATAAAAATGGGCTAAGTAAAAAATTTAAGAGTAGCGAACGTTTAAAGGGAGGAATTTCTCGAGCCCTAACCCATAAAATGAGAGTCCCTTCCCGCTACTCTGAATTATTAGAAACTACATTTGTTTTTGCTATCGATCCAAGCACCTATTTTATCTAAGTTACTGCTACGATAATAATTTTTAATTATATCTCTACTAAGTTATCCCACCTCAAGATCAAGAACATCAACGGCAACAATACCACACATAATCGAAAGAACACGCTTTTTCTGCCATAATTCTATCAAAAATAATTTTAAATTGGTTCCAGATTACTGAATATATATTCGAAAATGATCGTTGGCTTGAATTTGAGGAATTTGAAGCCTTGCTTTGCTGGTCTGATGAACGAGCAGAAGATGATGAAGCTTCGCTTTGCTGGTCAGATCCTCTCCTATTAGTACTCTGGACAAGGGAGTGTCATTGATTGATTTCGCTCTGGAGCGTTGTGAACATCCTGCCGACTGATTCGAAATCAGTTGCAATTTGACTAAAATTATTATGATAGGTTTCTAGAACTCGCTCGATTTCGCTATATTTCTCATTTATAATGATATTCTGCGCCTCTGTTGCATAGTTAGCATCACGGCCAGCGATAGTGGTGCTGATTTTTATTTCATCGGCATTTTTTTGTTTTTTTTTGTCTCACAGGAAGAACCATATGGCGATGGACCCTATACACAAATGGATATTTTCGGGGGTTATCTTCGCAACGACGAAAATTAAATTAGTGGTTAAAGTCATAAAAGGCAGATTTTCCAAAACGATGAATGGGTGCATTTATGCAAAGAAATTCCGATTAGAAATTTAATTGTGGGACGTGCGGATTCCTTCGATTTAAGATGAGTGAAACCAAGTTCGATGAGTTTATTTTTGTGAGACTTTCGTTAATGCCACGTTGGTTTTGCAAGACATCAGAAAAATTGCATCTTTTATAGGGTTATGTTTCGATCATCATTTTTTCACATAAAGTATAGAAGATGCGAGAACGACTTTTAACGTAATCAGGTATTAACATTTCTTATTAATAAGCGTATTCTTGCGTAATTGAAGATAAAAAATCCGAACAAATTCTGCCAAAATTATCCAAAGGGTCGTTATGGACCATTCGCAAAAAAAGCTTCGAATCGATATTACTGTTTAGCTATATCACAAACTTAGTCTAAATGATCAATATGTAGCATTATTCTCGATCCGTGGGACAAGTTCATGTATAATCAATAAGCTCTAGAAAAATTATATTAATAAACTTAAATGATAATAGAGTGTGCTTTAGGTTGTCGCAGAACTCTTTCAATAATTTGTTTAACGGCAATTTTAGAATTAATAAAGCGGTCAATATAGTGCTCTTTGACCCTCTGATTTATGTTCCAGATCAGAAAAAATTTTCAACACTAACACCTAATACCCGCTTTACCCCTTTTCTGATTGATTCCATATCTTCTTTCAATGCCGTTTTCGAAAGATTTATCTGATATTCGCTTTCACTGGTGCAATAAAGCCCATCCGTGGTAAAAACGAGAAAATGCCAATCCATACCCGTGGATACAACCATAGAGGTAGTCGTAGTCGTTGTTCCCAAAAGCCTGGTCCGCGGTTTGTTTTTTCTTATTTGTTGAAGATAGCCAATCTTAATGTTATGTGACTTTCCTTCTGCGATATACATGAGATCCTCCTTCCCCTTAATCGCATAATCAACATGTCCAGACGCTTCTTCACCAGATACATCCTTTTGCAGAAATATATAAAGTTTTTCTTCTTTGGTGATTCTTCGAACAATGGCTAGAGATGTGTATAGGATAGATGAAATAAATTCACAGCGAGTTGCTTCGTTTAGCATCAGTTATCGTTTCAATATTTGTTAGGATTAATATGATATCCGCCATACAGTGCTTAAATTCTTTGTCGTTATCATCAATTTCTACAGAATCTATAAACAGAAAAAAACAAATTATTGCTAGAAGCAGTCACAAAGTGGCTATTTATCTGGAAATTTTTTTGATCGTTCTCTGAGGAAACGGTTTTTGCCAAAAATAAAATAACCTATCAGAATAGCACATACCTGGAATGAATTGTTTGATGCTCGTTATATCCTTGTATTTGCAGAGTATATCCTTCAACTCTTCTAACACTTTATATGACAAGAAGTTTCATATTTTTTGCTCTTTGAGATTTTTGATAAATTTTGCAAGCCTTATTGCAGGTCTTAATTTGAAACTATAACATTCAAGTCTTTCTTCCATTAATTCAAGAAAGTTGAAATTAGGGTTCCAAAAAGTATCAAATTGGTATTGAAATGGTATCAATCTATAGTAAATTTAATATATAAGTTATGATTCACTCATATAAATTGATAGTAAATTTAAATATTGAACTGGTATCAAAATAGTATCAAAATAATATTGAAATGATATTTTTAAAAGCTCTAACAATTTCCTCTTTCTGAAAAATCTTGAAATGTGTTTTTTTGAGATCTAAATCTTCTTGCCTCCATAAATAATCAATAAGCTCTTTCATTTTATATTTCTTGATTATATAGTATTTACTATTGTATAAGTTGATCTTTCTTTTATCAAAGTAGAAGATGTGAAATTAGTAAGAAAGGTAAAAAATTATATGAAGACATGATGTTGCTTTTATATATAACAATTTGAAAAATCTGATTTATATATTATATTGAAAAAATAAGTAAAAAATCAAAAATTATATTGTATCTGTTTTTTAATAATTAATGATTTATATACAGTAGATGACAAAAATATCTGGATTTTCGATTTGTCATATAAAACATGTTACCATTGCTTTTTTTTTCATTAAATTTTGATCTAATTTTGTATGATTGTGTCACATAAATGTATAAATAAGTTTGTATAAATACATTATTTTTTTTTTGCTGTCTAGTTAGCACTATCCATAAAAAATGCTGTGCAACACTGATCCTGCCACACAAAGAATAACCATAAGCCAGCTTTGGTCTAACAGTATCACAAAACCTGCAAAAATTTTAAAAATAATCAGTTTTCCTAGATCCACAATATACAATTATGTAAATCGACTTAAAAAAAGAGGCACCCTTATCCCACTTTCTGTTCCTGGCAGGTCGAAAGTTCTAGATGTTCAAAAATGTCATTATCTTGGTTAGCTTATAAAAAATAATAATTCCATCACTGCCACTGAAATAGTTATTAAATTTAATAAAAACTATCCTGATCTAAATATAACTGAATGTACTATTCAGTGTACTCTTAAAAGTTACCTTCAATATGTTGTCTGCTGGCCACAATGAATTCCTTTTCTCCAGTCTACCTACATTAACAAGCATTTTGAGTGGGTCCAAAATCACACAAATGACAGTTGGTCTATCACTATCTTTTCAGATAAAACAACTCTTTAAATGTTTTGTAATATTTAACTAGTTCAGCATCGCCGCACAGATCCACGTCCATGTCATAGTATGGTAAAGCATCTGTATAAAATCTATGCTTGAGGAGTATTTACTACTTGAGGACTAGTTTCATTATTTCTATTTACTGATAATTTAAATGCAAAAAAGTATTGTGAAATTCTTGAATCTTGCCTTCTTCCAAATATAGGTTATCGGTGACATTTCCAACAAGACAATTCTCTGGTCCATACAGCTCAAATCACATGCGATTTTCTTGAGATCCACTGTATTAACGTGATTGACTAGCCCTCTAACTTGCCAGATCTAAATTTGATCAAAAATCTATGGACAGTACTAAAAAAAAAAGTTGAAAAAAGTATTAGAATTTGGATAGTGAAAAAAAAAAAACTTATCGTTAATGAATTTAAAAAGATTATTAGAAAGGAATGGAAGGGCTTAGATCATAATCTCTTCCTTACATTATCACATAGTATGGAAAATCGTATAGATAAGGTAATTTTGCAAAAAGGACAAAAAATAGATTATTGAAATTTTATATATGTTTTTTTGTCATATTTGTGATTATTCAGGCAAATTT